TTTTTTATTTATTGTAGAGATGAGGTCTCGCTGCCCAGGCGGGTCTCGAACCCGCGGGCTCAGGCAATCCTCTCACTTCAGCCTCCCAAAGGCGCGGGATTACAGGCTGAGCCACCGAGCCCGGCTTGATTTTTTGATTTATTGTAGAGATGAGGTCTTGCTGCCCAGGCGGGTCTCGAACCCGCGAGCTCAGGCAATCCACTCACCTCGGCCTCCCAAAGGCGCGGGATTACAGGTTGAGCTACCGTGCCCGGCTCCTGCCATTATTTTTATTTTTATTTTTTGAGTCTTAGTCTCACTGTCACCCAGGCTGGAGTGCAGTGGCATGCTCACAGCCACCACAGCCTCGACCTGCTGGTCAGGAGATCCTCCCGCCTCAGTCTTCCGCTTAGCCGGAACTACAGGCTTGCGCCACCACGCCTGGCTAATTTTTGGATATATTGTAGAGATGAGGTCTCACCAAGTTACCCAGGCTGGTCTCGAACCCCTGCGTTCAGGCAATCCTCTCGCCTGGGTCTTCCAAAGTGCTGGGATTACAGGTTTGAGCCACCGCGTCAGGACAATATTTTAAAAGTCTCAGTCTGTTCACAAAGTGTTGAGTGGTGATGGAGTTAAGAAAAATTTATATTCCTGTGATATGTTTGTAAATTATTAGCGTACACACAAAAACACACTATAAGGATTCTTTTCTTGTTGAACAAGAACAAAGCACACTCTACTGAAAAGTTTATACGGCTACAACAATCTGTATTCCTATGAGGTTCCAAAATGAAATCAGTAAGTGTGTTTGAAATCAGTAAGATTTTACTTCTCTAGTTTCCCTGGCACAGCACGAGGTAGGGCAGAGATAGTAAGAACATCTGTTTTTCTGGGCAAAGATATCAGGAGATTGCCCAAGGGCAATAAGAAAGAAAAAAAGCCCTCCAACAATTCTCCCCAGGAGCTGGTAGAGCCCTGGTTATTTGCTTTCACGGGAAAATTGCTCTGGCAAACCCATTCAAATTTCTCCCAGCAAATCATAGTGGCCTACGCCAACGCCTTCTCCGCTCATTGGTCAACTGGAAACTTCAGTCCCCTTGCAGGCCTCCCGCCTCTCTCTCAGTAGCCAATAGGAAAGATTAGCGGTTCGCAACTTTGTGTCATCCAGCACCGTAATTGCAATTGGCTATTGGAGCTGTCGATCGAGAGGTAGGTGGGGCTGTGCCAGCAGGGCTATAAAAGAAGAGGACAAAGGCGGCGCGCCGCCTGTGTCATCCGCCATTTTGCGTGAAGCAAGGTGGCCTCCACGTTCCCTGAGCGTCTTCTTCGCTTCTGCCTCGACCGCCCCTTGACCACAGACATGTCTCGGGATCGGTTCCGGAGTCGCGGCGGTGGCGGTGGCGGCTTCCACCGGCGCGGAGGAGGCGGCGGCCGCGGCGGCCTT